AGTCGAAAGCTTCAAGTAACTAACCTTAAACATACACATGTATACAATGATAACTTAACATTTACATTAGAAGAACAAACAACCAAGCCCTATGAACTACATCAAGTAAAATACTGACATCCATCCATCCTAATTTAGAAACTGAGTACCGGACCAAACTTAGTTATACAAAACCAACTAGTATTATGAAAGCAAATATTGCCGTATTTAGATGTGAAACCACATAACTAATTTAGATTCGACTTGAATATTTAAGTGGCGCTGTAGGAAATCGCATAGGAAATGTTTACTTCGAAAATCAAACGCGGTTGCAGATATTCATATCGTGCGATGCCGAATGGACGAATACCCAGGGGCACTACTGCTAGTTAAGCCAACGTATCTGCGTTTATGTTCCACGAGCAACATTTATTTTGTGCATGAAATTCAAGTTTACGCATGTTTTGCGTTTTTGTGTAGGCTACACTTATGTCGAAGTATTCGGTCTCGTATTCACTGTGACTTCTATGAACAGAATTTTCTAATAGATACGATCACTTTGCTGTCGATGACATGTTAATTAACAGACGTACTGACCCCTTTCGTTTTTTTCTAAAAATTTTTGAAGACTAGAAAATTTTGTGAAATGTTACAGTGATATAAAATAATATAATGTTTCTCTTTGTGAAGAGATGAAATCTGGAATATAACTAGCAACTGATATACTTTTTGATATCATGGTTAAGTAGGATCACTAAGAAAATACTCCTAATAGCTCCAATTGACACGATTTTAAACATTTAGAAGTAGGTAGTTATTTTTGGTGTCCCCAAAATAGGCAAAATTGTTCAGCCTTTGTTTCAACGTCAAATCTCATTGTGTACTCTGTGTTGTGGTTTAGTTGCACACGTGTAACCAATGTATGTATCGTCCAAACGACCACAGTGACCATTTTCAGTGGTGACTGACGCAATGGAGGTTGGTGGTAAAGTTTGAAATGTATTTTAGCCCCTATTTTTTTCATTTTAAGTAATAACCAATATAGCACACCTCTTTGGTCTAATGATGATGAGATAAAGAGGGATTTATGTATTGCTTATTTTGTTAACTATTTCATAATAGCCTCTTTTGTGTGAAGCAGTAGGTTCATACATATCTATATATGTTGGAGAAAGACGTGAGGTTATATACCTATGTATATAACCTCACGTCTTTCTCCCATCCCCATGTAGGCAGAGACTATGGGACGCCAATTACTGCGATTCTTACATACCTCTTTCGCTTCATTAGAAGTTCATCTGGTATATAATAACTCGTCCATATAGCTCTTTTATGCTCGAATTTCTTTACAAAATTCATGAGAAACTAAGAAAAAGCAAACAGCATGTAACAAGAACTAGTAGTTTCATAGGTGAACGGTTGTTATACTTATGAATATTTCAAGATACTTAACCTACGTTGAGAGTTGTTACAACTTGATGGTAAGTGCGAACCGAGAAAGTTTGAAGGACGGTGTAATATGTTGGCTGTACAGAGCCACGTTTACTGAAACTTAAGTTTTAAACTCATGTAATATCCAAACTGGTCGCCTTCTTGTTATGTTGTCACCTTGTTTAATAGTGGCCACTACACAAGTTACAACTTCACTCTCTGTAGAGGCCAAAGAAAGTTATTTTGTGGGTCCCATCGTATAGGCTAGTTTATAGTCTTCTTGGTCATTCATACATTCTCGAGTTTGTACTTTTACCTACTGATTTTTTTAAAAAACCTTGTAATAAGTTTTATTGTGGTCTTTTTAGAACCTAATTTCTAAAAATTAATTTAAAATGCCTACATTTTTGGCCAATCTCAATCTATCGATATCAAGACTGTTGACTGACTGTAGACTGGACGGTTAGCGCTGTGACTGAGCAACTGGCTGCTGCTGCATGTAGCGGGTTCGATTCCTGCACGGAGCAAATCTTTGTGTGATCCACAAATTGTTGTTTCGGGTCCGGGTGTCATGTGTATATGTATGATATTGTAGATTTTCAAGCGCACCCACGACACAGGAGCAAAGCCTGGGGTGGGGCAAAGTTAAAAAAAACTGACTCTGGCATGTCGTAATTACGTTACGACTAATTATCGACTATTAATCGACAATGCATAACATATCGAATTATACATATAGTCATTAGAGTCCAACTAATGTTTTAATTGACGCCTTCTTTCATAATTTTACTCTAACAACGCATACTTAATAAAACCACATTAATGAATGGAAGTACCAATAGCTGGCCTCTCTTGTCCAATCTGTGATTGTTTCTCGTTATTCATAAAGAAATATGTGAGCGCAGGTTACAGGCGCTGGAATTAATGGCTGCCGACTGATTGTGAATCCAATCACGGACGAAAGAACATTTCTCATGCTGAATATTCATGTATGTGAACGATTAAATACTTTTTGTTCTTACATTTTGTATGTGGAAATAGATTTTATTTTATATATGAGAAATTATTACTACTATAATGTAATTTTATCGGTTTTTAACTATAATTTATTTTGGTACATTTCCGTTCTATACGCTCGACTGACTCTTATTGAAACACGCAATAATTTAACACCGTCTTACTTAAAACTGTTTTAGAAAACATATTTGTAACCGATATCCGAAACTGTTTTAATAGGCTCCTATTGCATTTATCAATTACAATAATAATATGATAAATACGAAAGTTTCTTTGTTTTGATGTTTAGGTGTTTGTGGCGACACATGTTACATGTCAACGGATGTCGTCACAAAAATCCTACAGCTCACATGCAAATGCAAACATGTAAATTAACACGGGTAGAAAATCCCAACGAACAACAGTTGGGCAGAAAGCCCGCCAGGCACGATCACCTCGCCTGGTCAGAGGATCCTCCTTTTCCGATCTTAGGGAACTTTACTCTCTGTTCCCTAAATGTTTTTCCGTCAATTATTACGCTAAAACTATCGAATTTGGTATACAGAGAGGGTATGGGCTGACTTAGGTGATAGGATTTTTTATCTCGATTAAATGCTCCCATGGCATAAAACATATTCTACACGGACGGAGTCGCCGGCAACTACTAGTAAGCCATAAAATAAAACTCTAACTGCCTAATTAATCAGTTAACCATTTAATCGAAATGAATTACATATTTAACAAAAGAAACATGAATAAATCATGCAAAGTTAAGTGTATCTGTAGGTATGCTAATTTAAGCTCTAACCACTGGCTTGTACCCGTACCTGGAGCCTAGAGTCATGACATGTAAGCTAAGCCAATCGAGCGACAGTTCGCCAAATCTACCTAAGCCAGCTAATCAAATCTCGTAACAGCTTGCTTAAACATTACTAGAGCAGTACCACATCAAGCAAGATTCGATAATCAGCTAATGCATTTAAGGTCCAAGTTAGGTTAACATTTAGAACGCATTAGGCTCAACACTTTGAGTGCAGTGTTCAAACTAAACTGTTGTCATTCCGAATTTAATTTAAATGGAAATGCTTTGTGGATACTTAACGTTTGCCATGTGGTTGTAGTTCTAAGACCTGTGTACTTAGCCTAGATTGATAAACTTGAAAACACACTAACAATTAATGAAATGTTACTTGAGAAGTATTCCCAAACTATACAAAATCGTGCTCCGACTTAGGTAATAATAGCCCCAAAAAACTAAATACAATTTAAATCAAGTGAACCAAACTTATCACTCCAATAAAATAAAAGAATAATATTTATAACTGCCTACAATACCTACAAATTGAATTCCAAAGATGCATATCACAAGGTTGATGTGATCGGGTTGGCCATGCCGACACCAGGGCGCTAATCTCTACAAACGAGAAGTCCTGTATTGTGTCGCCTCGCAATTACGAGAGGACACAATATTACATGTTCGCGCAAAATCGTGGCCACAATCGATACAAAGCCGAGTATTGGTCACGGTAAAAGCTTTGGAAACAACGGAGTTTGGATTAAACATCGCACCTTTTATTTTGAAAAACACAGTAGGGGAGACAAGGCATGGGATAGTGGGAGTAACACTCACAGGCACTTGTATAACAATATATACAAATTCAATAATATGTTAAATGCTGTACATTGAAACCTATTATCAAATGCAATAATTGATGTTGTATCAAATACAATACCAAGTTGGATGCGAAAATATTCTAAGCCGTTGGGAAAGCTATATTCAGCAGTGGATGTCTTATGACTGATATAATTATGATGACATACTAATACTTACATCTAAAGATATATTTAAAAGGTCTAGGGTAAAATCAATTTCTTTATAATTCACGTAAAAGTCGCAAAAATCGACTATTCATCAACTTATTGTCTTAAGTAATCGGTTTACATAAAGGAGCTATTCAAAATATCAACTGCGATGTATGTTTCAGTTTCGCAGTCTGTTGTAACAAAAGATAGCTACTTACCTTCATAACTTATTTACGCTTTGTTGCCTAACGGGATGAACTCGACATACTATAGACGGAATATGCCTTTTTATTCTAGCGCTTTTCCCAAGCTATTTGTAAGGTCTGCCTCTCTTGAAGGCTCTGTCGCTCATTATTTATTTTGGAACCGTATCTTTTATATTTAAGATCTATTATTTTTGTCCCTTCTTTACTTTTTCGGCTCTTTGTGTTGTTATACTATTATAGTTTATTCTGTAAGTAGATTTTTCAAATGGAATCAATTGTTTTAGTTTTCGATGTTTTGTGGAGTAAGACGGATTAGTTATGGTCTTCCTTAAATATGTTTTGGGTAATGGTTACTTAGATAAAGTATTATACGGCTCTCCGAAAACACAATAGACTGCTTGTGGACTGATATTTCAGGAAAAAGAAAAATTAGATATTTTGTACTCTTGTTTACATTTCGTAATTTTCTTTTAAATCATTTCCTTTATCTAAATCTAAAAAAATCTTATAGGTATTTTTAAACCAGATGTCATATTTTTGCAGTATTAACGTTATCGTCTTTATAACCTATTTTTTCTTCAACAGGCAAACCTCCTGACGTGCTGGCATTTGGAATTACGTTGATGATGATGCTGATCCTGATCGCCGGAGTTCGGAAATCTCTTTTCTTCAACAATCTGTTAAACGCTATTAACCTCAGCATTTGGGTATTCATAATGACAGCTGGATTATTTTACGTGGATGTGTCGAACTGGACAGAGCATAACGGATTCTTACCCTACGGATGGAGTGGAGTAAGTATTTTTTAGATGTTGTTTATTGTTTCGTAGACGTGGTTGTATGTTGCGTTCGATTCCTAAGGAGTTACGTTACTTTCTCTTCAAATTAGAGTTGGCTCTATGTACCTATAAAAAGCCTATGAAATAAAAACTTCCCCTCATGACTGCCGTATGTAATAACTGAACTAATGTTCGATAGTGACTTTAAAAGAGACGGACCTCTGAGTTTGCTTCGGCATTTCTTCTCAAAGTAGTAAAAAAAAAAAATTTAAATGGCCAGTCTCCTAATATGGTATAAATAAAACGTAAATATTACCTATGTCACATAAACTTCCATAACACCAGAAATAAATAAAAGGGACAAAAATGTAATAACAAAGCCTGACACAATCAGAGACCCGTTCCAAACGTTATCAAGAATGTGACGCCGACAGACGAAGTACGTTGAATATTTATCCAGACAGCCAGGCAGTAGGCATCTGTTTAATATAAACAAAGTGTTGGATGAGACATTTATACATGGCTTGTACACATCAGCCTATATATCCAGTATAAACTGACCGATGGTTGTGTGCATAAATTATACAAAGCTAGGCCATAATGAACTGGTTCTATATAACTTATCTGCTGTCCACTAACTAAAAGGCAGTTAAGACAATTGGTCAGTTTTAACTTTTTACATAAATTACATCAAATCACGCCTTTTATCCCCGAAGGGGTTGGCAAAGATGCACATTACGGCACTTAATGCCACAATGTAACACCCACTTTTCACTATTTATGTTATGAAGTCCCATGTAATAGGGGGTGAGCCTATTGCCATATACCTGGCAGATTTGCAGATTCCGTGCTACCACTAAGATTATTAAACAACCCAGGAAACCTTTGCCCGACCTGGGAATCGAACTCGAGACCCCTTGCCCGGCAGTCGCAATTGCTACCACAGGGCCAACGAGGCAGTCACTTTTAATGTAGACTTATGTAACTTTCGTTGCTCTTTATCTTTTGGTTTAAGAATCATTTTTCTACGACTAATAGTTTTAGAGAAACAAAACATTGCCAAGCATTTAAACTACATACATTTCCTTAATTTCTTAATCAAAGTGCAGTTAAACAAAAGACGTTAACATACTTCAACTAAATTGAAGAGTAATTTTTTCTATATTTACTTATCTAAAAGTACATTGTCTTGTCTTTCTTGACTAAAAAGCAGCTGAATACGGTGTCATTCAAAGAAACAATACAATAGAAAGCAGTTATACGCCAATAGTGGCTTTTAAGTTAAGAATTAAAATTAGTATAAGCGGCTAAACGACAATACTAGACTAAAAAGCAGTTAATCGCTTGTGAATTGCGTTTACGTTTAACAGCTAGGGCTTCGTCTTTTTCAATTCGGATGGCAGAAAAACCGGTTATAAGCATATGGAGTAACGCATATACATACACATTAAGTTCAGTCTTGAGAGCTACACATATTATTACTTCATCGAAATAACACAAGGGATCCTAGAAACTAATAAACGAGCATATATTACGCACACATTACAAGAGCCGACACTACAAAGATATTATAAAAGTAAGTTGCAACTATGCGTAACGCAGGTTCGATCCAAGCTCGTTTCACTTTGAGTTTCATAAAAGTTCTGCTTTACTTTATTGCAACGAGCAGCTCCGGCTTCAATATAATGTGAGACGTGTTTAAAAGATATCGTATCACACGTTTAATAACTAGATGGATAGACAAGTACTTCCAGTATGTGCTTGTATCCTATTAATTATATAGACCACAACTAGTATTTTGTGACCCAACTAACATTTTATATGGGTCTGAAATCGATTGTTATTGTTTGTATTGTTGAAAATCTATTGTTGAGAATGTAGATGTTTTTTTTTAAACATTAATGGCACAGAATTTTATTTTACAAAGGCGTTACCTACAAATTGATTATATTAGGAAATTGATCACTTCAATATTTCATCGTAAACTGGATCAAACATTCATTCATGCACGATCTCGGTCACTGTCTGGAAAACAACGGGAGCTTGAATGTAACTGAGGGATTTTATCGGTGAGTATCTAGGTTGGGGACAACGGTCGTCTGATCCGCACTGTCGCCAGACGAGTCCTACTTTCGTGTTTGACTTCTCAACCAAGAGAGATAATAAGTAACAGCGAAGTCACTGCGAGAAGTAGGCCATCACATCTATAGGACAATTTACTACCGAATTATGGGCCACATCTGCAGAAAACTGTCATAACCTCCATGCTTGACAATCAACTTGAAGATCGCCTAGTTTTTAAACTGCAGATTGAGTAGTAATCTTTATATTATTAAGTCACCCCTTTGTATTAAAATGTATGTAGAACTATCTATTTTGGACGTTTACTGCCGAGAACCGAACAGGTGTTGCTATGCTCGTATACGTATGTTATGGAATATACTTAAGTTATGTTTGGTCCCAGTAGAACACTAACATTCAGTATTAACCCGGGTATATATCCGTCACGAATATGTGTATCTTGGCCATGGAGAAACTAATTTCCTAAAGCAACTATCTAGGCTATGACGGAACATACCTTTATATACAAATTAGTAGAGGCCAACATGAGTATTTGGTATATTATAAAGGAAACCAAAACCCCTTTAATAAACAATACAATAGAGTATGCTACATTGACTCGAGTGCATCCTAGCAACAATATTTTATACAAAATAGGATTTTAGAACAAGGGACGCAATGTACATTGAGGCTTATAATTATGCTACATTAAATTCATACTTCATTGTAGCTACAAAGCTTCATTTTGAAGAGTAAAATTAGACATTTCGGGGTATTATTTTGTTGAAATGTAGTAGTACTTATTTAATGCATAACAGAGTCGTCTTTGACTTGGCATTTCGTACCGAATGTGGTATTAACTAGTCGGTTGCTGCTTTCGTTGATAAACAGTACACTTTATACATTCAATTTCAACATTAAAACCGCATTCGTTGATTTGGAAGGGAATTTTCCTACGCATTAACTGTTTACTTTAGTATAACATACAATTTGTATATTGTCGACATTAATCCAAAAGATCAAAGGTAGGTATTGCAATATGTCCGTTTTAAATGCTACGTGTTATGGTTATAAATGTATTTAATAGATATACTGGCTCGTTAATCGAATAGTTAAGGTGTCACGCCTAGTTGAAACGTATTGTTATAAATATTCGGTCCCCAAAAAATTTTCGTTCAAGCCTCTAATCTAATCTTATGATTTGTTTGAAATAACGACAATTTTTTTTCAAATTTGTTTCTGTATCGTTTGACTACAAAAATCGTAAATATATTTTATGCATCTAACAAAGAATCTATCAATCCTGACGTTTGCAAAGTTGAAGAGATAGTTCTCAAATCTCGGACAGCCAGAGAGTATTACAATAAAATATTGTTGCATTTTATCCTTGAGAAATATTGGTGGTGATTTAGCATTATGCTTTGACATTTTGAAAATAACGAAATCAGCGTAGAGTTGTCTGTTACTTTTTATCATTATTATTTCCATGTATGCTCTGCATTTTTCCCAAAGGGTTTCCCAATGGGTTAAGTGATATACTTAGTTACTTTAGGTATTTAAAAACTTGTAGGTAAAATGGCAGATATTCAAAATAACTGCTTTTTATAAGAGGTTATAAGTTAATGGACTAGTGTTTAAAGAATTCAGGCTATTAAAAAGTATTGTACCTCTTAGTTCAGTTATAAGCACGGCCAAAAATGTGATTGAAATTTAAGATTTGCACAAATGAATTGCATTCATTTGTTAAGAACTGACTGACATGACAATTTTAAACTGCGATTTCCACCCGCGTGTCGAGCACCGAGACAATGGCTATCCCTCGTATAGGATCAGGAGAGCCATAGTCTAACATTAGATTATCAATCTACAAAACTACCCTGATACCCAGCCACTGCACGGTTGGCGCCGTGGCTGGGCATTGGGCAACCGGCTGCCACGCAACGTGCAGTGGGTTCGATTCGCGCACGGAGCAACTATTTGTGTGATCCACAAATCGTTGCTCCAAGTCTGGGTGTCATGTGTATGTACTATTATATGTTTCTAAACGCACCCACGACACAGAAGAAAATCCTAGTGTGGGGAAACGTTTAATTAAAAAAAGTAGACGATGTAATTTTATTTCCTTGTTACTCTATAAAAATCTTTTGTCTATTTCAAATTGGACCTTTATAATTTTTACAAACTAAGTTATTTTACTGTAATTGCCGCCAGCTGAACAGTTAATTAATGTTGACCTCTTTTTACTTGGAACTCTTTTAATTGATTAAGGTTTATTTTTTCGCGACCCAGTATTTTAATTCTTTTCGAAAATTGTAAAGCAAACAAAGGGCTTGTCGGATAACTATCTGTTATTATTATATAATACGCATTAAAATATCCTCTATTACCTAGTTACAACGCGTATATAAACGGTGTGATCTATTTTAATCTGTCATCTGCAATCGATAAGCAAACTTATTACAAATTGTGAAGCTAAAATTTTAGCACATTTGAGTAAAGTCTGTGAGTACATACACATAATTATTTATTGGGGTGTATTGTATCTTTGATAGAAGATATTTCGACAACAGAAATGCTACGCAGCCTACCACGAACGACTTATGCGCCTAAATTTTCACAGCTAGCGTACGTTATTATTTTAGGCGTTCTATTTTGGTTCTAGCTAGCCCATGGCTCTTACCATTGACCAACGAAATTGATTATGCTATATTTTCATTACTTCTATCAAATTTTACTTTATACATATTTCAGTGCTAAATGGTCACTCACGAATTTAATAACACTCTGTATAATCGATGTGGCAAATCGTGTAAGCACTTTTATTCTTTTAATTGGATAGGGTGGTTAACGGGCATCCGGATCACCTAATGGTAAGCAATCAGCGCCGACCCCATGGACAAAAATCAAAAGAGTTACAATTGCCTTGCCTACTTTTGTGGGGATTAGAGCTTTATACAAATATACAGTAAAACATATTTCTCTTCTCTCTTACACAGGTTTTCACCGGAGCTGCAACGTGTTTCTATGCCTTCATTGGCTTCGACATCATCGCGACCACCGGCGAAGAGGCCAACAACCCCAAGCGATCCATCCCTCTGGCTATCGTCTACAGTCTTGGCATCATCCTTCTGGCATACGTCTCCACCTCCATGATCCTGACTCTGATTGGTAAGTACCTACAATTGAGTTAATCGTGGGACATAATTAACTATTGGAATCAAGGTTTTGCTCTTGTAAGTGTTCAACGAGGGTACACAACTTGACTCAACTTGTTTCAAGTCTCGCTAGGGTCCATAATCATGTCGCGGAGAACCTAACGGGTAACCGGGGCTCCGGCTCGACGTGCAGGAGAAGGAACGGGGTGGTTTTTAGTCAGTAAGAGTCTGACACTCCCTTCCGCCTCACCCAGGCGGGAGCAGTCTTTCGATGATTTTCCCCCCTTAAAAAAAAAAAAAAAAAGGTCCATAATCATGTGCACCATATGCGACAATTAACCATACATATATAATAATTGTTACTTTTCACATAAAAAATTGTTTAACGACAATTTTCTATAGTAACAGTAAAATTACCTACGATGCATAAATATATTTAAATTGCCAACTGTCTCTTGAGTTTCGGTAAATATTAAAAATACTAATATAATATATTGTTAACAAAGAATTAAAATAACATTTGCAGACAGCGATTATTTAATTGTAAAATAATTACAAACAGAACTCATTCACATTCACATTCGCATTAATTAATTTATAATTTCTATAAGAAAATCGAATGTATGGCGGACAAAACTGTACAATGAACTGCGATGCACGATGGTCGCGAGGTTAATGACAAACTCTTTGTCTATCAGAAGCCTTGTCACCAGGGAGCAACTGCAGGGTTGGTTAACAACACAGCTCCGCCTTATAACTAGTTTTTAATTTGATGAATGATTAAGTAAATATAATTCAGTTCAGTCCTTAATGTTTGAAATACCTTTACATGTATGTAGGCCAGTTTTATAGACACCTGCCTCATTGGCCGAGTGATCGCAAGTGCGACTGCCGGGCAAGGTGTCTCGGGTTCGATTCCCAGGTGGGGCACAGTATTGCTGGGTTTTTAACAAGATCTCAGTAGTAGCACGGAGTCTGGATTTCTGCCCAGTATATGGTAATAGGCTCATCCCCTATTACATGGGACTCGTAACACAAATAGTGAAAAGTTGGTGTTACATTGTATAGCTGCATTAATTGCCGTAATGTGCACCTCTGCCTACCCCTTCGGGGATAAAAGGCGTGATAGTATGTTATGTAATAGGCACCTACTTATACATTGTGTATTTGTCATAATCAGTATTTTGGTTTAGGCATTCCCGTTATCATTTGAAAGACTTTCCTCTGTCTAAAGTCATTAATTCCGATTGAGTTTTGACATTATATTAGTAATACAGAGTTTCTATTAAAAACTTCGACTGATCGAGACACTTTGTATTATAAGTGGTCACTAATTTCAATTGTAAGATGTGTCACAATAAAAAGAAACAAGCTATACGATTAGAATAAATTAAATTACATTCACATTTATATGAACAATGAAAAGAAAAGTCAAAAAGATATCAAATTTTCAAAGAAATTTACTTTAATTTTATTCATAAATGCGGTTTAAGTTGCTCACGTATAGCTTCTACTTGAGTCTTATAAGTTTCAAGATCAAGAAAATACTTTAGATGTTTGAATTATTAATATTAAGAACACATTGCTTGGGTACTTTGACGCAAAATAAATAAAGTTTTACTTAGTGTTATTATTACAATATTAGTTCATTTATCTCTCGAGCAACGTGTGTATGTGAAACAGAACTTTATTTCGAAAAACTTGACTATAGTGAAATTATGGATAATTAATGTGGAAAGTACTTATTCACTCTCTATTTACGTAATAGACATTCCTACACGTAACAATAATGATCCCTCACAGAAAACTATTTTCTGTTGTAAAATTGTTAAATTTCACTACAGAATCTCATATTTTCACGTTTGCAAAACACAAATGAAATCTAAAACACATAACAAGGCTTCAATCAAAACTGTTACGGAACGGAAAATAGAAAAATAATGGGAGCTGACAAAAGTTAGTCAGTATTTTCCTAGAAATTGTACAATTAACATGCAAAAATGTTTTTGACAAAATGCTCTACAGTTTTATTTAGGTTTTAACATTCATAGCGAGCAGAATCAGTTATGTCCCGAGTTGGACTGTTGAATAAACAATATATGAATTTGTTTGAGTCCGTAAATCTATGTTTTGTATAGATAGCTTTGTCAGATTTTTGTGACTATCTGACAAAGTTTTATCTGCAAAATGATTGTTTTATCCTACTCATATTGTAACTGTGAAAGTTTGTATGTTTCTTTGTTTCTTTGGTACTCCTTCACGTCAGAACGGCTGAAGGGATCGAGGTGAAATTTGCAAGAAAGATTGTTTACGGTCTGGTATAACATATCACTTAATAGTTATATGGGAATACGGGCGAAGCTGCGGAGAGAAGCTAGTGTAGTAGTATTGCGTCGGGGATCGCGGGACGATCTCCGGCCACCGTAAGCGCGGGCCTGCGGACGGCGAGCATGGGTGGCTCCCCGTCCGACCAGAAACAGACCCGAGCGTACGGCGCGTCGCGTTCCGCGCGCGCCTCAAAGAGCCATCAGACCACCACAGATGGGGCCCAATAGGGCCGATGCCGATTCGGAGTCGCGGAGAACCTAACGGGTAACCGGGGCTCCGGCTCGACGTGCAGGAGAAGGAACGGGGTGGTTTTTAGTCAGTAAGAGTCTGACACTCCCTCCCGCCTCACCCAGGCGGGGGCAGTCATTCGATGATTTTCCCCCCTTAAAAAAAAAAAAAAAAAAAAAAAAGTGTAGTAGTATTGTCATTTTATTGCAACACTGAAGAACAATTAGGTATGTATGAGAAACCACAATGTATTTCACCTAAAATAACTATATCGTCTATGAAAATTGCCAATGAAATCTTTTAAAGCCGATGAGACTATCAAATCGCTTGTGATCCCTATATCTATTATCTAATACTTCACGAGAAAATAATGACTAGACTTGAGAAGTAAATCAATGATTTATCTAACTTACAATATTAAAATTTCCCCCAGTATACGTTATAGGAACAAAACATACAAACAAACGAATATGTTGCATAGTGAATGTGTTAGAGTTTCCACAGAACAGCGTAAAACTTAAGGCTAGCATTTGTTTTTGTTAGACCTAACATTTTCTGGTCGTAATTTCATTTGCGCGGCAACCGACGTCCACATCGAGCTACACAAAACCAGTATAAACCGACCGTGAAATGTGCTGAGAGACCATATAAAGAGAGGCCATGATAACCTGGATACTTATAGCTTGATATGTAGCTGTGTGTACCTCGTCCACCATCTTCTAAGCTCCATTACAACAGATGATACTGTTGCCCTACTTCTCGTAATTAGAAGGAAAAGTATATTTATTTAAATTATATTTTAAAACATTGTTTTGTATCAAAATGTTTCTGTGAACAAATTGCGTTCTGTGAACCAAGCCTGGGGCTACAGTCATGCGGATTGTCTTCGCTGTGGGTACATTTTAAATTTTTAAATTTTCATCGTGTCTTCTTTCTAAATCAAAATGATCCTCGGTTATGTGACTGAGCTTAGAATGGTACTCAATATTTGTTACCTAACTAAAATGATATAACCAAATCATTTCTACCTAACCCTTTGGAACAAGACAGGCGTAATAATCAACTGAAGTAAACGTAAATAGTCCTAGTGATAAATTCAGTCCATCGACGTAACCTAACCATTACTTAACGAAGTAGCAATCAAAACTTTAGCAATTACTTCTATAACGCTAACGATTTTTGGCAGTTTATTACAACTTTCACAAATTACTAGACCTAACTTTCTTGATAATTATTCAGAAAAAATTCAAATGAAACTAGACTTTATTTTTATGAGATACAAATAAGCTTATTAAATGTAATATTATATTTTATTTATTGAGTTCACCGTGTGACGTAATGGACCGCGTTTCTAATAAACCAACACTGAAAATGTGATGAGCATTTAATATAATTTCTACTTAGTACCTACTAATAATCTAGATAAAAATATTAATAATAGTCTTGAGCGAGTACTTCCACAAATAGCTCAGCACCGAACGTTTCAATTTATCAAAGTCGAATTCCACTGAAACACCAATATTGGAAAATACCGACTAATAAACAAATTCGGTTTTAGTTATGAACAAACGAATCGAAGTTTCGAAATTTTGATAGTAGTTCCAATTCTCGTTGAAAAGAGAAATATTCTGTCTGACGATGGTATCGTAAAATCGGACAAAATCGGACAGTTGTTTGGAATAAACGGAAGGGGAGGGGTACATTAATTAAGGTATACGATGAAACGGTGAGCCGTACCGTAACGAAGCCGTAACGTTTCGGACGGGGCGCCGGTTATTAATTAAGACATTGCAACACCAGTATTCAATCTCTTTTATTGGAAAATGCAACGGGATTTTCGACAATATTTTGGCTCGTCTCTCCACTTATAATGGAATTCGAAAATAATACAGTTTCGAGGAATCTTCGTTAAAAACTTTTTGTACTCTTTCCTTTGTAATCAAGCAAGAAACAAGTTTTAATTTTATTTTATTTTAATTTTTAAGTAAATATCTTCAGCTGATTGAGCTGAAACTTTGTATAGTTATTCGTTAAGTTCGCATAACCTTAAAACCAAGATATTGTTTCTTTTTTAATCCAGTAATACGCATGTCTGCGGTACTCGCAAAGTGATGATGTCACAAAACTTTAGCTTGACCTGAATGCAATTCGCGTGCAAACTACCTTCAGGTCAGGGTTGCAGGTTGCAGGTGTGGCAAGGTACATAGTACTGGCTACCCGTTCATAGTTCACAATTAATTGTTAATGGACCACAATTTGTCCATCAAATTGCTTCATTATTATGATGACATGGAACTGACCTTTTTTGTTGTGTGTAATTGGGAATGTTGTGTTGTTAGTGTAGATGTAGATAATTATGCAGGTATTGCTTTTGTATAGAAAATATAACATGGATTTTTAACGTAGAATCATGGTGAAAAAAATAATCCGTAAGGTATAGGTATCGGTAAGATCTCG